ACACACTATACTCATAGTCACGCAATGCTGATGTTGTTAACATTAATGATTTGAGAATAAAGTATAACAATAATAATAATTTGCATGGTTTGATGTGATATGAGCTAACCGATCGTTACACTTAATCACCATTGGTAGCGCGATTTATTTTAATGCTTTTTTCCTCAGTTGGTCAGAACAAACGTGGCAGACTTGTTACTTACTTGTTCAGATGGCAATATACGGTCAAAATTCTTATTTGGGTCATATTCCAAGACGTAGGCTAGAATCTGTGATTGCGAAGTACAGTAAATATCCACACCGGTGCGGTGACTGACTGCCAAACACACATACTCCTCAAAACATTAGATTCATCCGCGCTGGAGCCGTGCCTGAGCACACCCACGCAAGCTAGATAATTCCGCAAACAGCTGCAATTCCAGGTTTTCAGAGATGGCAACAAAGAGGCAAAACGTACGGACTGCAGCTTTAAACAAAACATAACAACATGCTCCGCCCCTTAAACAACTTTTTTATTCTGCTGACATCAAGGCCACTTATATTTAGACTCCTCCCCTTTAATCACCTTTTATCAAAAAGTAACCAATTGCTCCGCCCCTCAAATGACTTTAATTTTCTGCTGACATCATCAAGGCCACTTAGTTTTAGACTCCTCCCCTTCAATAACCTTTTAATCAAAACAATTTGCTCTACTCCTTAAACGACTTTTTTCGCTGACATCATCAAAGCTACTTATTTTTAGACTCCTCCTCTTCAATAACCTTTTATCAAAACGTAACAACTTGCTCCGCCCCCAAACGACTTTTCTTTTCTGATGACATCATCAGACCCCTTAATTTTATTCTCCTCCCCTTCAGTAATCTTTTATCAAAACATAACTTGCTCCGCCTCTCAAACGACTTTCCTTTTCCACTGATATCATCAAAGCTACTTATTTTTAGACTCCTCCTATTCAATAACATTTTATTGAAATGTTCAACTTGCTCTGCCCCTCAAACAACCTTTTTTTGTTGCTAACATCATCAAGGCCACTTATTTTTTAAGACTCCTCCCTTCAGTAACCTGCCATATAGAGATACTTTTCAGCTCCTATCAATCCCTAATAATGGCGCTATATAATTTTTTGGTTATGCTTTGTTTTAAGGTGTAGATGCTACAGTCTAATTACACAAATAAGTACTGAGTAATATTACTTAACTACAGTACATGCACTTACTAAGTTTAGGGTTGACTTTATGTAATTTTGCATAACTCACTGTTATTACACTCTTAAAAATGCTGGGTTAAATACAACCCAGCACTGGGTAAAATATGGACAAACCCAGCGATTGGGATGTTTTGACCCAGCGGTTGGGTTACTGCCCAGAAGGTTGGGTTAAACATTTAACCCTGTTGGATGAAAACAACCCAATCGCTGGGTTTGTTCATATTTAACCCAGCATTTTTTAGAGTGTACTATATAGTAGCAAGTACATGCAACATGTAACTATGTCACATTGAAATAAACTGTTACTTATCTGAAACCATGGTATGTTTTGCAAGATGAACTACAATGAAATGTATAACGGTGTGCGTGATCTGGTGTATAATAGTGAAAGTGGAAAACACCATCTGTGAAGAGCACAAACAAGCGTCATAACGGTTGCTCTTGAAAAACAACAGGTTTGTTTAAGAAAAAGAAGACGCAACCAACACCAAGTATGATTTTCTACACTTAGTCATTGAGTTGCACCACAGTGAACTGCATTTCTGCTTAGGCAGTTCCTTAAATGATACCGGTGAAGCAATAATGGCTGAAAGCACCAGTGAAATCCATCAAGTCGAGCTCAAGTTGGGTTCTTATAGCCCAAAACATCCAACCTTCATTCAAAACTCAAGATTAAACACATTAAAGGTTGCATGATAGCTTATCTGGAGCTGCAGAAGATAATGCCTCACCAGAACAATGGCACAGATTCAGTTCAAATCATACAAAGTTAGCATTTTTATTGTGTATTAGCTAAAACAAACTGTTTTACGTACTCACCCCAATCCAGAAGTACAAACAACAATCCACAACTAGCAAAAACGTCCTCCTCTGAATCTAACACACCACTTTCTGGCAGCTGAAGCGTCTGAAAAGAGCAGTGTTTCAGTGCTGCGTTAACCACAGCCTGAAACACACACCACTGCTACAACTTCCTCTTCAGACTGACACTCAGTGCAGACACATGGCCTTTACATGAGCACACACACACATGAGGCCCTTCTTTCAGAGGTGGTACGATCAAAACGTGTCGATGGTGGACGCTTTAATTCAAACTGTAGAAAAACCCAGCCTTTTTGTGCATATGATGTGATGACTGCATAGTTCCCATACTAATGAGTGCACTTGTGCAGGGGTTTGGAGGAGATGAGCAGAAACGCTGGTGGTTAACGTGGTGAAGGAACCCCTTCGAAGAGCTTGTTTTGCTTAAACTAGCTGCTGTTCACACTTGACTGACTACTACAGATAAAACGTGCCATTTCCTGCTATCTAACTGTACTATTGCTCTTATGACGACCCAGTGTAGAGAAACTGTGAGTCTTGAGTGTCTTGTTATGGTTTTAAAAGACATGTAAATACATGTAAATAGTATATAAATAAGGCAACCATTCAGTTCAACAGTATATGGGTGTTTCTTTGTTTCTGGTACTTTGGGAGCAGTGTTGGGCAGTAATGCATTACTTAGTAACGCGTTACTGTAATTTGATTACTTTTTTTAGTAACGGAGTAATTTAACGCGTTATAATTTTCAAAATAGCCTAGTAATTAGAGTATAGTTACAAGCCGAGGTCTCTATACGTTACTGCCGCGTTACATTGCTGACAGAATGCAGTGTTTTATAATCTAGAGATTGTAAAAAAGGATGTAGCTCACGCACTGTTGAGTCAAGTGCCAGTGGATTAGAGACCTGCCCCCGCGAGACCCGAGCGCGGGACAAGATGGGCGAGTGCTGGTGCGGGCGGGTAGACACTCGTGTGTGTGCGGGATGCGGGAGAATAAAATGATTCACGGGACTCCCGCAAAATAGAAATATCTAAAGATAAAATATCTAAAACAAATAAATTGTTATTCATCTATTGCACAAAAGCAACATGAACTAATATAAAATATAAACGATTAACAGGTGCAAGCGTATGCAGAGTTTCTATTTAGGCTATAACACGCGTTTACTGCATTGAGCAATGGTGATTTCTGGAACGCAATGGCCAGTCAGGAGTGCAGTGCTGAAATGTGCGTGCTCTCGAATCCTCTCATTATAACACACGAATTGTAGACATTAAGTTTCATTATGCATATATTTATTGCGTTATAACAGAGATTTGTGAGATTGCGATGAACTGAGATGTCTTTTAGAGATAGGCCTAAATGCAGCGCTCTTTGCTGGCATTCTGCCATGCCAAACCATGCACGCAGCAGCCGCTTGCTTTAGTTAAAAATAACAGTGTTCTGTGAATGTTGATGCTTTAATAACAAATATTTATCGGGAGCGTGTATGCTGGGATTTCATAAATTTAATGGAGAAAAAAGTAACGTAACTAGTAATGTAACTAATTACTAATTACTTTTGAAATAAAGTAATCAGAACAGTAACGTAGTTACTTTTAAAAGGAGTAATCAGTAAGTTGATTACATTTTCAGAGTAACTTGCCCAACACTGCCTATAGCTCAGTTATTTACATTTACATTTAGTCATTTTGCAGACGCTTTTATCCAAAGCGACTTACAATTGGGGAATACATAAAGCGATTCTTCTTA